CAGTTACATTTATTTTATTTCATGTAACAAAATGGCTTTACTTAACTATAATAATCCTGGTTTACAGTTTATAAAAAAATGTTAAAAAAATATATGACATTATACGTTATATGACAATTGTTATATGACATAATACAAGAGTAAAAAACAAAAATTAAGGCCCCCAGTACTTTGTTGTTCAGTGCAGCCTAACAAAATGTTAGTGTCTTTTAGTATTTACTGTCAGGCTTCTCAGGAAAGTCAAAGTGTATGTACAGTACTTGTATTCTTAGTTATAACAGGAATTCCGTTTTCCAGCCTTGTAAATCTCTTGAAAATTACATAATTTTTCTAAAATTGCCTTTTTTCTTTTAAACGCGCACGCTGAGGTCTCTCTGCCTTGGATATAAAATGCACCTCTTTCTACATCAAGACCCTTTTTTCTTTTTTTTACAATTTAACAAGTCATAGTCATCGTGGATGGGAAGGAGATGTGCTGGTGTCTATTTTCATTCGTGTTGGGCATTTGCTGCCATGGCAACCTGCTCTTCTGTATGTATGTGAGCGCCATATGGGTCATGCTGCTTATCTGAGGCTCAGCAGAAACAGAACTGCTCTGCATCCTCACTGTGATTCATCATGAATATGTAATGGCCAGAGTTCAATATGGTGCATTCATAGGGCATCGTGAAAGTTGTTTTTATTGATTTTCTCATAGCTCATGAATGTATGTGAGCTGGAGGGGGTGAAGTCGACGTTCCACTCATTTGTGAAAAGTTCATCTCCCCAGTTTGAATTACTCAAAGATTTTGACTCTCAGTCAGCCAGTTATATAGGGGCTGTTGATTTGCTATTCTTATTATATTCTCAGTATTCAAGGCAAGATTAATTTTATGGCCTGGTATCAAATGACAGAATGTTAATAAGGGAAGAACCAGTGATAATTTTGTTTTAGTAGCTGGTTTCTTTTAGAAGTTCAAGATGTTTTAGATGTATTAAGTTACTTAGTTACTTTTTATAGAAAGTAATGTGTTGCGTTACTTTTGCGTTCCTTTTTCTCATCTGGGCTGGGCTTGCTTGTTTGTTTTTAATATAAATAAAGTTCTATTTTTGGCAAATGTAAAAGCCCTTTCACGCCAGAAGTGACACGAATAAGCCTCAGGCTGAAGGAAATGTAAAATCAAAAAGCTCAAACAAACCTTTCAGCTGTTCTGCCATTCTGGATTGCATGAAGAACAGGACGTAAGAGAAGAAAGTTTTAAAAATGACATTCTCACAAAAGTTAAGTTTCTCTAAAGTCATTTTTGCTTCTTAGTATGGTTGTATTGGAGGTCATTGAAGGTCAGCAGCAAAGACACTGTTAATAAAAAGGGATAACTTTTTTGAAAACAGAGTAACTCAGATATTTTATTGTAAATTAGAAAGTAATGCGTTACTAGTTACTTAAAAGTAATCTGACTACATAACTCATATTACTATGCGTTACCCCAAACACTGTGTATCTCTATCTATCTATCTATCTATCTATCTATCTATCTATCTATCTATCTATCTATCTATCTCTCTATCTCTCTCTCTCTCTCTCTCTCTATATATATATATAAAACAAAGCAAAATTGATGTTTTGTTGACATTTGGGTCAAAAAGTCGTATGTATTTTGAATCAATTTAGATATACTCTACCATTCAGAAGTTTGAAGTCTAAGATTTTTTAATGCTTTTGAAATACATATTTTATGCTTACCAAGACTGCATGTATTTGACATGTATACAGTAAAATGTGACAAATTATTACAATTTAATATAGCTGTTTTTAATTTGAATATATTTTAAAATGTAATTTACTCCTGTCATGCAAAGCTGAATTTTCAGCATCATTGCTCCAGTCTTCAGTGTCACATGATCCTTCAGAAATCATTCTAATATGCTGATTTGCTGCTCAAAAAACATTTCTTATTATTATCAATGTTGAAAACAGATGTGATGCTTAATGTTTTTGTGGAAACATGATACATTTTTGGGATTCTTTGATAAATAGAAAGTTCAACAGAAGCATTTATTTGAATGTCTTTACTGTCACTTTTGATCAATTTAATGCATTCTTGCTGAATAAAAGTATTAATTTCTTAAAAGAAAAAGACATACTGACCCTGTAGTATTTGATAATGACATTTAACTTACAATACAATACCATTTTTTTTAACTTTGTTTTTTATTTTTAACTGACTTTACAACTCAAATCAATCATCACATTTTATGAGGTTGCTTTCAAAATCCATTCAAAAATCTGCAGAGCATGCGTTTCTGCATAAAAGTGTCTTATAAAGCATGTGTTTAATTAATTACTGAAGGGATTTATAGTAGTTCCCCTGGTAGAGGTGCTCCCATAAAGTGTGTTTAGCAAAATTATCCAGCCTCTTGCTAGTGCAACACCTAAATGCCTGTTCTCTCCTATATTACAGGGCAGAAAAAACAGAGGTACTGAGTGAAGACCTGCTGCAGGTGAGATAAAATCAAATCAGTGTGAACACAACTGCGTACACAAGCTGTATATATTTATATTTATACAACAGTTCGTTCTGGTTCTCAAATATGATTGGTTGAGAACCGTGAGATATTGTACTGGTCTCGAACTGTTGTATAAACACAATATCACTCTCATACTTGAGCGATACCGGCTCTATATCAGCGGCTGTGATTGCCTCCGGCACTCGGCCTGCGGCCTCATGCCTCTGGCCTAATCACAGCCATGCTGATATAGAGCCGGTATCGCTCGAGTATGAGAGTGATATTGCTCATTTATACTACACTGCTCATATGTTTCACATGTGTCTATTTTGCATTCAGGTGGAGAAGCGTTTAGACCTGGTGAAGCAGGTCTCTCATAGCACACATAAGAAGCTGACTGCCTGTCTGCAGGGACAACAAGGCACTGATTTAGACAAGAGATCAGTTAAATCTCCCTTGGTATGTCAACTCTCACACCTCAGATACTTCAGTTTTTTGCAGTGCAATGAATTACTCTCATAACAATTTGATTGTGATTTTCCCTAAACACAGAAAAAGTTGCCCCTGACGATACTTGCTCAATGTATGGTGGAGGGAGCAGCTGTGTTAGGAGACGACTCTCTTCTTGGGTGAGTTTGTCTTTATATTTTGACCTCGAATCAGATTTTTCAAACGGTTTCCCTTGGGCTGCATCCTAAGTTACAACCAGACGGGCATCAAAGGAGAATTATGCTTTTAAACTCACAATGGAAAAAGTGATTTTCTCAGTATTTGTTTTGTCTTGTTTTCCAGTACAAATATCTAAACATTCTTAAATCAAGATACATTTACTTGAAAAAGAAAATTACATAAGATATTAAGTTTTGTTTACTGGAATACAAGAAAAAAATATCTGCTAGAGAGGTAAGAAAAATAAAGTTGTTTTCACTTTAAATGTAGTTTATTTTCCAGATATTCTTTCCTTGTTTTAAGCATAAATTAAATTGTGACAATTTTTTTCAGAAAACAAGAATTATGACTTATTTTTTTATGACTTTTTTTTTTGTTTGTCTTCCAGAATGTGATTTTGCTTTCCAAGTAAATATCTTAAAATTGAAAAAAAGGGAAAATATGGTAAATTAACAGCTGGGACGTCAGTGTACATTAAAAAATGGTAGCAATACAAATGGCTCCAGGATGATCTGAGGAAGTAATTCCAAAAATTTAGTGATATGTTCAGATTCAGATATCACTCCTTAGCCTTCATTTATTTCAGACGTGTAATATTTTAGCAAAAATACTGATTGTATTATAATACCAATTCAGACAGAAATGAAAAAGCAGACAAAAGGGTGAATCAAGCACTTAAATTGGGCAAGACAAATCGAATTTTTAAATTAGTTATAAATTAGTTACAATAACAACACTGTGGCAGACTGGACAATATTTCCATCATAGACCGTAAAAAAAAGATGTGTCCACTTCCTTCCACTATAGAAAAGTGATGGCCCGGTATGGCCACTGTCATCTTGTGCCAATGACGTCATTTGGAACCAGAGTCTGTGCAGCAGTAATCGTGAGGTGGAGTCGCAGTATAAACGTCCCGCCCAAACGTCCCCAGACCCAATCATAAGCTCACAATCATGACACCACACCCCGTTTTTACAGCATTAAATAACTAACTAAAAGCAAACTTATTAGAAAACTGAACTTTTGAACATACATCGGCGTGATAAGAACTACCTAAAATGATGGACACCATCTTTGAGAAAAATATACTTGAAGTGTAATTTAATTTAGTTTGGCTCACGTCCCATTCGTTTGCATGGCAAGGGCAGGGTTTATGACTTATACTGCAGGCAGCCACCACTTACCCAGTCATTATCTGGCTCATATTTGCAATTTCAACCATATTCTCAAAACTATTGTTTCCAATGACTTGAGGAATAAAGGTGAAGTGCACTTATTGATTCATCAGATATTTAATTATTGTTGCGCAGGAAAAATATGCTTACACTATTACATCCCTCGGGTTGCTACCCTGATAGCACATGTACATCACAGAGACGTCTATTTGACGTCTGCAAGATGTATTTTTTTTAGAGTGTTTGCTCATCTGCAGTACGTCTATAGGATGTTTCCTATCAGATGTCAAATAGATGTTTAGAAAATGTCTTTAAGATGTTAATGATTTAGAATGCATGTAAAACTGACATCTTAAAGACATCTATCAGATGTTTGTACACAGCAGATGCTTTCCAGATGAAGCGAGCTTTAACAGACATCTTGTAGACGTACGTGTGCTATCTGGGTAGCAACCCTATACACTTTTTACAAAAAATGAATCTGAAAACAGAGATTATTTTATATAAATGTTTTTTTCTTGTTATATTGTTTAAAATGAATAGATTGAGGAATATTAAGAAAGTTGAAGTCTATCTTTAAAAAATGAAGGAGGGAGAGGGTAGTGAATGACGTGCTGGGTCACTAAAGACCAGAGGTATGCATTTAAGGGTTAAACTGGTTTGCAATCTGCCAGTAAACCTAGTGAAGCAGAAGAAAGATGCTTTTTTTCCCAGCCAGGTGGTGTAATTACTATAACCTACCAGCAGGGGCTAATGGGATCATGGTAACCTGACAAACCTTATTCAGACTTCTTGTGGTCAAAGTTTGGTTTCTAAATGTCTCTTGTCATGCAACCTGCATTGGTTTGCATCAAATTAATTTGGATAGTTTCTACCAAGAGACAGATGAAATAGCACCAAAAATATCATAGAATTTGATTAGGCACACAGCCTTTGATGTCAACATCAAAAACTATGGGTAGTTGTTTCTCACACATTCAAGCTCTTGGGTTATTTCATGATATTCACCAAGATGTTTGTGAATTAGGATGCAGCCCTGACTTGGTTGACTGCTTTGGCTAACCTGTGGTCTCCTTCTGTAGCAAGATGCTGAAGCTCTGTGGTGAGTCAGAAGAGAAGTTGGCCCAAGAGCTGCTCGTCTTTGAGTTTCAGATTGAAAGAGATGTTGTGGAGCCTCTGTATGTGCTGGCTGAGGTGAGCATGTTTTTCCTTTCAAAGTTACACTGTAATACACATATTGTGCCCTTTTTTCATCTGCATGTAACCATGTAAAGCCTGACATATGAAATAATAGTCAGAAAAATCTTCTTTTTTTTTTTATTTATTGAAAAGTTTATTAAACCTTTAGACCAAGTAAAATCTTTCTAACAGTATTACAGACTACTTACATAAAATGCATTTAAATGTCTATTGTCACTGTATATCTCCCAATAATATAATAAGTCTTAGTAATATGATATTTAAATGCTTAGTTTTATTTTCAAAGCTCTGTAGATTTTATTATGGGACAAAAACATATAATGCAATGTAATACAATGATAATTCAGAGATGTACATACAAATGTTCATCAAATGCCTGATGTATTAAAAAATAGTTTATCTTGAAATATTAAAAATATAAAAGTTATTCTTACATTTACTTTATAAAAAATCAGTCAATATTTCACAGCCAAAAGTCATGTGTACAACAACCTGATGGGGGACATTTTTACTTAAAGGACTTTTATTTGCTAAAAAGTATAAACTATCAATCAGGTGACAGAAGGGATGTAGTAGATTGTGTACAGCAGGTTTTTCAGCAAAGTGTTGATCATGTTCATAATTTAGAGGCCTTAGAAATTTGCGTATCAAATATGATACAGTAGACTTTATAGGGTTGGAAGCTAATCCCTAAGTGCTTGCAGTTTTTAATGCATGAAGGTTGTATTGCTTCTCATATGGACATGGTTTGCTGTTTAGGTGGAAATTCCGAACATTCAGAAACAGCGAAAACATTTAGCCAAACTCGTCCTGGACATGGATTCTGCAAGGACACGGTATGGACTACAAGCAATATTACTGTTGATCCCTTGATCTGCATTGCACACATTGTGCTCTGACCATGTCATTGGTCCTCCTGACCTCTAGGTGGCAACAGTCATCCAAGTCTTCAAGTCACCCTAGTAATGTGCAGCAGGGCGGAGCCAAGGGTGATTCCCTGAGAGAGGAAATGGAGGAGACGGCCAATCGGATGGAGATCTGCAGGGTGACGATTCCTCTCACTATTTCTTCCGTATTTAATTAAAACCTTAACCAAATGCAAAGCAAAACTAACATGTTACTTTTACTTAATAGTCTCCATCTCAAAATGTTTTTGCCTTTTTTTATTAGAAATTATAAATATTTGTGACGTATAACGTAGACCTACATGTCTTCCTCTCTGTAGGACCAGTTATCAGCGGACATGTACAATTTTATGGCCAAAGAAATAGACTATGCAAACTACTTTCAAACGGCAAGTACCTCTGGGCACTAAAGGTGAAGTGTGTCATTTTGGTTGGAATACCTTACAACGTGTGTGTGTCCTCTTATTGGTCTTGCTGTAGCTCATAGAGGTTCAGGCGGAGTATCACAGGAAGTCTTTGGAGATTCTGCAGAGTGTGCTGCCACAGATCAAAGCTCACCAGGGTGAGACTCTCCACTTCCACTTTCATGCCTGAGCGTACAAGTTTGGTTAAGTGGTGGCTTTCAAGTGCTTGTGTGGGTCTGTCAGTAAACATGTTTCTGTAGCTTTTAGGGACCTGCATTTTAACGTCCATCATGATGTGTTTCAGAGGCCTGGATAGAGAAGCCATCGTATGGAAAGGCCTTAGAGGAACATCTAGCCATCAGTGGCAGGGAGATTGCGTTTCCTATCGAGGCGTGCGTCACCATGCTGCTCGAATGTGGCATGCAGGAAGAGGTGCGAGACTGCTGAGAAATAACACAACATGCCTTATTTGTACCTGGAAGCACAGTTTGTTTCTACAAACTGCGGGATGAGTCGAAATTGTTGTGTGTGGTAATCAACAGCATGTCACAGATGCCGTTCATAAACATTATGCTGTAGATAACCTGAAACATTCTGGAAAGATCTCTTTGATTTCACCTTGACAAATTATTAAGTACAATGATAGTATCATTGACCAGGATTTTTATAGTCTCAGCATCATGTGGAGCGTCCACAGAACATCACTGATCAAATAGCTGTATTAATATTTTTAATATTGTTGAATACTTCCCGTGTTGATTTATTTATTTAAATGCCATTAAATGACTCATTAAAAAAAAAATAATAATCATGATTGGCCGCTTTACATGTCATTCATGAAGTCTGTATTAACTATACAAAGTTATTAAATTACCCATCATTCTTTTTTTTCTTTTTTTTCAGAAATTAAGAACTTGTGGTAAAAATATTATTTATTATTTTTATGTTACATAATTTATAATTTATTATAATACATATTTTATAAGAAATAAATTGATCTAATTCAGTTTATATTAATTTAGTTGATCTAATTTAGGTTACGGCTTGATTTTTTAATATATGAATAATAATTTAGCTAATTAAGATGATGAGATGACTTATAATATACACTTTTCTGTAAACATTTGTCATAAAATTGATCTATGGATTTTTTTTACACTTTCAGTATATATATAAAAAAGAATGTTTTATTATTATTATTATTATTTTAAATAGTACACAAGTATACTATTAGTACAATGCATTGATATTAATATACTTACTACATAAAACATACTTTGAAAATTGACTTGAACTTCACTCAAGTTTAACTGATAAAATTAATTAATCATTATTTATTAATTTAAATACCTTTTAGTTATCTTGAGGCCCCATTGGAAGTTTGCTGAGACCCCCTAGTGGGCCCCGGCCTCCAGGTTGAGAACCACTGATCTATTGCAAAAAATAAATAAATAAATTAAACCACGAGGGCCAAGGATGCCATTTGGGACAGGGCTTGGGATTTTATGGCCAAAAAGGTCTTAACTTTACTCTTCCTGTCACATTAGGGTTTATTTCGGGTAGCTCCGTCAGCCTCCAAGCTGAAGAAACTTAAAGCATCTCTGGACTGCGGGGTTCTGGATGTGCAGGAGTACTCGGCCGACCCACATGCCATCGCAGGTGAGCATCTGTCTCTCACCTCTTAGCTTTTAAAATGTTCACTGATCTATCCGCAGTGTCCTTTTAGTGGGTCGCAGCTACAAAGTCTCAGACCCCATGGCAGTTCGCATTAAATTATGTCCCAGGTTAATTTGATCTCATTACACTGGGCCTGAAGCGTGACCTAGTAGCCGCCAGGAAGGGGGGCCACAGCCGACAGGTGGTACACGCTGATTGTGGCCATGACAGCTCATTTGTCAGGCTTCTCCTTAGTATTTCAAGCAGAGAATATCACACCTCCAGTCACGTCCTTTCACACGTGCTGTGCTTCCCTCTTTCACCATGTCCCTGCCTCTTTCACGCTCTTGTTCTTCCCTCTGACCTCTTTCCTTCCTCATCTGCTTCCCTCAGGAGCTTTGAAGTCTTATCTTCGTGAACTTCCCGAACCTCTAATGACCTTTGAACTCTATGATGAATGGATTCAAGCCTCAAAGTAAGTATCGATGGTCTACCCCAACACACACGCCATTAGCCAGTACTATTTGCCATTTTCAGATACATGTGAGACATTTGCTCGGTTCCAAAACGTACCCTGATAGCAAACGTACATCACAGAGTTTTCATCTGGAAGATGTATTTTTAGAGCATTTGCTTATCTGCAATATGCCTCATGTAAGATGTTTCCTGTGTTGGGAAAAAAAACAAACAGCTTAGCCAACTGGTCTCCCAGCCTAAACAGCTAAGACCAGCCTGTAAATCTAAAGAAGTGGTCAAAACCACTCTAAAACTAGCCTGCTAAACCAGCTATGACCAGCTGGGGGTTTTTTTTGCGGGGAGGGGTTCAGCAGGGAGCTGTTATATATGTTTATGTTTATCGCCAAAAATCATTAGGATATTAAGTAAAGATCATGTTCCATGAAGATATTTTGTAAATTTCCTACTGTAAATATATTAAAACGTAATTTTTGATTAGTAATATGCATTGCTAAGAACTTTAAAGGCGATTTTCTCAATATTTAGATTTTTTGTTTTGCACCCTCAGATTCCAGATATTCAAATAGTTGTATCTCGGCCAAATATTGTCCTACCCTAACAAACCATACATCAATGGAAAGCTTATTTATTCAGTATAAATCTCAATAAAAAAAATGACCCTTATGACTGGTTTTGTGGTCCAGGGTCACAAATGTAAAATTAATTTTTTTTTAAAGATATATATCAGCTGTTTTTACAACCGATGCTTTGCAGATGAAGCTCTCTGTAACTGAAATCTTGGAAATGTACATGTGCTCTGGGTAGTGAGGTGCCTACCTGGATTTAAAGGGATAGTTCACTCATAATTGAATGTATTCAAGGCCCAGAAGCATAGTAAGGATGTTATTAAAATAGTCCATGTGACATCAGTGGTTCAACCGTAATTTTATGAAGCTACTGGAATAATTTTTGTGTGCAAAGAAAACAAAAATAACGACTTTATTCAACAATTTCTTCTCTTCTGTGTATTATAGTGTAAGTGAATGTGTAGGTGTTAGTATTAGCTTACCTTTGGAGTATACTCTCAGTAAACTACTAGTGTAATAGTTTTTATACTGAATGTATATACTGTAATTGTATGTTAAGTGAACTTAACATTAAATTTACAATTGTAGATTTGTCACTAAAATCAGCCAAATGTTTATCTGTTTCTGTGTGGGTTAATCGCACTGTGGAGAAAAAAAAAGGATCAAGTTGAGTTGCCCCCATGAACATACAGCAGTATATTCTTATACTGTATACTGTACCATAATGCATCTCTCCCTGTGTCCTTTCTCTAGCATTCAAGATATGGATAAAAGGCTCCAAGCCCTTTTGTGTACATTTGAGAAACTACCAGCAGACAATCTGAACAACTTCAGGTGTGTGGTGCTTGTTATTTACTTATTATTTGTTATTTCTGACGAGGCCTTTGTCTTTGAATGAGTCATGAATGCAAGAGCTCATTAGAAGAGAGGAGTGTCAAATCTCCGTCACATCATGAGCGATGTAGCAGTTCCTTCACTGACAGGAAGTGAGCATGTTTTTGAAATAAAAAGTTCATTAGTCCTACTGAGAATCTTTTTGAGTTTGGAAATGTCCTTCAGCCTAACCTGTTTAATGTGACAACTATACAGAAGCTGTCTCTGGCAAAGACAAATTCAGCCTTTAATTTCACCCTGACTGATTTGGCCAAAGAATAAGAGCCACACAATAAATAATACATAATCAATCCAGGATTAAGTTCAAACAAAGCTTCCGTTTAAGAAAATAAAGATGCCTGTGTTCATATTGATTACGCATTTTATTTACAATTCAGCTAACAAATCCTGTGAATATTTGGCACGTCTTTACTTCTAGCCTATATTGCAAGGTTTCTAGATATATGCTGTGGGTCTTGGCTGTTTGACTGCACCTGCCTTCTGTCAGACCTACTGAAATATTGATAATATACAGCGACGACAGGAATAGCAAATGTCAGAGTGAATGCCAGGGCTAAACCCTTTGGTCAAACTGAGATTGAAACTGAAGTTTTTTCTTTCTTTTCTAAACAGATATTTAATCAAGTTCTTAGCCAAACTCACAGAGCATCAAGATGCTAATAAAATGACGCCAGGTAATATTGCAATAGTTCTCGGACCCAACCTGCTGTGGACACATTCAGATGGGTGAGTGCATGTCTTCCGTTTGGATTCTTTCTTACATTTATGTGGAGAGCAGCAAATTCACAAAGCAATTTAAAGGGACAGTTCACTGAAAAATGAAAATTCTGTTATTACTTGCAGTACATATGACTTTATGACTTTATTGTCATAAATATGTTTCTTCTGTGGAGCACAGTGTTGTTAATGTTAACTAAAACACACTGATGAAAATGATTTTCTTAAAGAAATACAATTACAATAAAATATAAATACATATTAGATTAAAAACTTCACATCTGAGAAAAATAGAAGTTTAAGTTGAAGTGCTAAAATTGCTAAAACTAAAACAGAGGCAAAAAAATAAACAAAGCAAAATACAGATATTGACAAAAAAAGGAAAAAATAGCAAAGCACATAACACAATTATTTAAGCTAAATTAAATCTAAAAATGTGCAAAAAAAGCTAAATCAAAATAATGAATACTATAATAATAATATATGATTAATACAAAAATAAGCACTTTTGAAGAATCCATACAAAAACAGTTCATAGTGACCATGTCTGTCAAGCTTCAAGAACGATAAAAACATGCTACAAAAGTAGTTCATATGGCTTTTGCACTATATTTTTAACCTTCATGCGAAGGTTTTCTGTGTCTTCTGACTGACAATACATTTTTTTTGATCCCTACAGATGTGGTCACTGTGAAATATAGTTTTATGGAGAAGAACTGCATGAGGATTGCTTAAAATGTAACCTTTTGTGTTCCACAAAATAAAGAAAGTCAGTTTTGGATCAACATAAGTTAATGACATTTTTAGGTATACTACTTCTTGAATGTATCTAGTAGTTTTATATTTTGACGTATATAATGCTCAAATGGGTCATTGATCTTCACAGGAACATGACAGAAATGATGACCACCATGTCGCTGCAAATCGTTGGCATCATTGAGCCGATCATCCAGCATGCTGACTGGTTCTTCCCTGGAGGTTAGATAGAAAGAGTTGTGAAAACATATTCGCACATACAATCTCTTGCAAGATTTGGACTGATTTGTCTTTGCTATTCTTAGATATTGAGTTCAACCTGACAGGCAGCTATGGCAGCCCAGTTCACACCAACCACAACTCCAACTACAGCTCCATGCCCTCGCCCGATATGGACCAATCAGAGCGCAAGCAGCAGCATGACCAGAGCCGACGCCCACTCAGTGTTGCTACTGACAACATGATGCTGGAATTCTACAAGAAGGATGGGTAGGTTGTTCTGCACTCATGTCTCTGTCAGCCTCCTCCATCTCTCCTCTTTTCCTTTTCCCTCCCACACTCTTCCATTAGCTTCTCATACCATCCTTCCTTCTTAAAGGGACAGTTCACCCAAAAATGAAGATTCTGTCATCATTTACTCACCCTCATGTCGTTCCAAACCTGTATGATTTTTTTTTCCATGAAACAAAAGGTCGGTTTTTGAAGAATATCCTGGCTAGTAGGACTAGACAATTAATTGAAATAAAACCAAAATCGCAATATGGCTTAGTGTGGATATCAAATCACAAAGGCTGCAAATTAATTAAATAAATATATGAGCTGTGGGTTTCAGAGTGAAGCGTAGCACTGTGTTTATTTATACACAAGCAGCTCATGTTCCAGTGTTTTCAGTTTCTTAAAGCAGCTCAGTTCTAGGGTTGGGTACCGAAACCCGGTGCCAATATGGCACTGGTACCTATGTAACCGGTATGTACTAAAGCCGAATCAGAACGCAGATTTCGGTGCCTCATTTCGGTGCCACTTAAATGCCTGAGCGATCGATTGAAATATTTGTCCTGGTTCTCTGAAATGGACGTAAGACGCATGGGCGTCGCTAGGCCATTTTTAACGGGGCTATAGCGATTAGCTCCATAAACTGTACACAAATTCACGATCGCTTCAGAGTCAGTCCTCTTTAAATTTCATATGAAAACGGCGGCAGACTTTTCTTCTCCTCCCCGTCTTTCAGCGCGCTCTTCAATTCTGCAGACCGCGGCGGCGCAGCACGAGCAGACTCAAACATAGGACACAAGGTGTGTGTTTATCGATAGATTGTTATAATATCTGTATCTGTGCAGTTCTTTGTCATAAATACAGTTTACAAAAGGTCAATACAGTAGAAACATTATGTGTGGTTTTGTATTAAATATTGTTTTGTAGTAAATAATGACCCAGATCGTGAAATACATTTATTAGCTTTAGAGTAAGGGTAGCACAACTCGGGAAATGAGCGCATCCAAGGAGCATGTGAATGCTATGTATATATATTTTTTATATTTTTAATGTTCTCTAATGTTATCCATCGTTTTTTATGTGACTCTTTTTAAAAAAGTATCGGTTCAGGCACCGTTTAGGCACCGGTACCGTTTTAAAAGTATCGATTTGGCA